GTGTGTGTGTGTGTGTGTGTGTGTGTGTGAGTGAGTGTGTGTGTGTGTGTGTGAGTCTGTGTGTGAGTGAGATTGTGTGTGTCTCTGTGTGTGTGTGTGTGTGTGTGTGTGTGTGTGTAAACGGGAGGATGTTATGAAACTCGTTTCATAGATTAGTCACAGTGCAGGAGTGAAAGTAAAAATGGTTAAATATGAAAAATTAGAAGTTTAACAGAAATGTGACCGTACACATTCATATGCCACGGTTTTTATATTGATTTATTTCTGTCCACTGACTTAAATATTTTAAGTACCCAAATACCATGGTGCATTAATATGGTAAACCATCTGAGAGCATGAGTTAGATTTTTTGAGAATGCATGTGATTGCACTGATGTGTTTCTCAGGGCCTGAAACTCATTTCTGAAAATTCTTCATCTTATTATTTTTATAATGATTATCTGATCTAAGTGTTTGCACATTTCAGCTCGACATATTTGTTTTTTAACAGTACATATTATTTAAAGCAGTTTTACAGAGTAAAGTGCCTGACAGATGTCCCAGAATCAAACGTGTGTGTTGCTTCTCTATAGTTCGTGAGTCAGTGCTTTATTACAGTCATCTGTGCTTTCAGAGCCTCAGATCGCTCTGTTTTTAACTCCTGCATCACAAGAGCTTGAACTTCTTGAGTTTTGATCGCTCATTTATCCTCACTACTCTTTGTTTGGCCTGTGGTTTCTCTGTCTTCCATTCAGTGGATGTCGAGATCTTCATCCAGGTCAAGATTACATTCTCCTGAGTTAATCTGATTACAGGACTAGTCTATGATGACCAGTTAAGCCCGCTGCGTTGTTTGTAGTTGGTGAGTGTTTGATTTGTAACAGACTCTTTTGTGTTGTTTTGTGCCGCAGGTCCGTCGCAGAACCCCGTTGGTGTTTTCCCCTGTAACCAGCGCTTCATGGCACCGCCGCAGCCGGGCTTCATCAACACCCTGCCGAGCAAAGGCCCTCCGCCGGCCGGCCCGAGCCTCTACAGCAACAGCAGCCGTCCCCAGCCTTCACCCGTTGGCACGCTCAACCACAGCAGCTACCAGCATCCTCAGCAGCCCATCAGCCACAGCAGCAGCTACCAGCATCCTCAGCAGCCCATCAGCCACAGCAGCATCTCCCAGCCTCCTCAGCAGTCCATCAGCCACAGCAGCAGCTACCAGCATCCTCAGCAGTCCATCAGCCACAGCAGCAGCTACCAGCATCCTCAGCAGCCCATCAGCCACAGCAGCATCTCCCAGCATCCTCAGCAGTCCGTCTGGAGCCCCGCAGGGAGCCACGCCAGCCCCGTCCCGCCAGTGATGCACCGCAGCGGCACCAGCGCTCCTCCTGTCCTCCTCAACACTGTGCAGCCACCCGCACCCTCTGTGAACACTGCTGCCTTGACCGGTACATCCCATAATATTACACAATACACTGCTGCTGTGACCGGTACATCTGTTTTAGACTTTTACATTCTAATAATATTTCACTGTTTCTACTGTAGGATCAGGTTTTGATCAAATAAATGCAGCCTTGATGAGCAGAAGAGACTTATTTCAGAAACATAAAAAAACTATTATTCCAAATTCAGCCTTCTCTAGTCTGGATATCTCAGCAGCAGCTGTTATAGATGTTGAATGTTTATCCACATCGCAGTATCATTCAGCTACACTTGCAAAAACAAATGCTTTGGACAGAGACATCTGTAAATGATGGGTTTGAGACATTCAGACGGCGTTTCTCGTGTGTTCATGCTTCTCTGACTGAAGCCCATGCAGTGAGTGGATCAGGATCAGTGTGCCTCTGCATGCGCGCGCACAAAAACAGACGCGCGCACACACACACAGGGACGCGCACAGACAGACACTCTCTCACACACACACACTCTCACACCGACACACAGACACTCTCTCTCACACACACACACAC